AGGCGATTAGTTTTGTGACCACTTGATCGATAATTGGTTTGATACTTATTAGAAATCATACCAAAATACAACTAGAAGAGTTAAAGACGGAAACTTATTTATTAAATTTCAGCAAAATATTTGTGCCGATTAAGAAAATACTTTCTTTCCCATTATTTTAACAAAATTTTAAGAACCTGAAATCTTTAAAGCTTAAAAATTTTATGGCTTTTTATCTACACTGAAAATAAGCTTTGCATACAATTTAGAGGGAAAACTTTTCTACATATTACAAATATGATAAGCACCTTATCTCCTTTTGACTTTTTCATGACTATTATTCGTATTGCTGGCAGCACTGGCCATAATGTATGCCACTTCCTGTGGCACCGCCCGCAGACTATAAATTCAGCAGCCCGAACTCGGGGACAAGCGCCGCCTGTCGCCAAGGATCACCGCGCTGACCCGAGCGTTGGCTTGCATATTTTTGTAAATAATATTATAATAAATAAGTTTATGCTATTAAGCGTCTGCCGAGGGCCAACGGCATTGTTTGCCCGCTCCCACGGGTATTGTTATCTTTAGGACGCGTGTCTGGCGCGGTTTCATTGCGGAGTAAACAACTTTTGTGGCCAGCCGGGTAATTAAGGAGCCCGCTCAACGTTGCGGTTTATAAATGGCTGAAATTAAAACGACAATATAAAGCTGTCAGCGACACTTTGAGTTGGGTCAATTGTGTCTTGGCCAGATAAGCCGGGGATTAAGCGACTAAGCAACAGTTTACAGTACGGAAAGAAGACGACGAATAAGCTGGGGCGATGGGGCGACAATAAAACTCAAGAAAAGTGAGGCAACAGGATTTCTGCTGTACAAATGAATATTCAATTCAATTACACAGCAGATGTATTTGATTTGATTTTCACATCTCACAATTGGTAAACAAATTAAACTCGCACTGAATTCAATTTGATTGCATAATAGCACAGTTGAATTCCCTGGGGGAATCGCACCTGCAATTCACTCTATAAATCTAAGAAATATCTTGGGATGAAAATAAAAATTAAACAACTTTCCTCTGCACATAGTGCAAGTGAAAAGCCACAGACTTAAATCCCTTCCGGAACTCGACTGTATCCTCAAGTGCAAGATACGGATACAGCACTAAATAATTGCCTTTTTACTCCGACAGCATCCCTCTCTAAGCCCCTGAAAAACAACCAGAGACTGCTAGACATTTTCGATGGGGCCCATAAATCTCGACCGGCTGAGCGAATGTGTGTCAGCTTAGCGTTTAAAAGAACAAGTGGAATGCTCCGGCAATGCCAAAATAGCCAATTTCATGGCTAGTGTAAATCAAACACACCTGCAATTAGGCCCTCATATACACGAACACCCACCTCGAGGTTCACCTGAGGAGCGGACAAAGCTATTTAGGCAAGGGCCCCAAAAACAATTTCTGGCAATAGCCGGCCAACTCATTAACATGCAGCACTGAACCTGCACTGAGAAAAATGTCACTAAAGAGAACTTGGAGATGGTAGTGATAAAAACATTGTCAACAGTATGGAGCGATATCTTCCAATGCTATATAACCGATTGATACTTTTTTAACTGAGAAAGCTTGTGCAGAGAAGTATTGAAGTTTTCCAATAAATTAATAATGTATGATATAGACATACCTATAGTTTTTTTATCCTGTACCTACGTTTGTGGCCCTCTCTGTTCTTAAGCCATTGTCTGGCCCTCCTACGTTTGTTGTTTGACGTTAGGGTAGCTAATTTTTAGGGACCACAGGTGGAAAGGGGGAAGCAGGTCTATTTCCCTGCGATGTTGTAGTATCTGTAACTGTATCTGACCAGCCATTAAACGCAGCCATGGAAACACGCTTCGGGCATGCTAAAAGGGGTCGGATAACAGGTCTCACCTCTCGCTCCGATCCCCACTGAAAGAGCTGGGTTGGCCGACGAGGAGAGCTGGCCATAAAACAAAAACTGTTGAAAGTGGCGCAATGCCTAAAAGTTTCTAACGTTGGTTAAAACTTGCGACACTGCAGCAGATAAAATGGCCTAGCTGGAGAGGATATGCACATAGAAAAAAGTGCATTCGAGGGTACTTTGCTGCTTTGCCACTTTGAGTTGCTTTGAGTTGGTCCAAAATGAAATCGAGGCACGCCGGCGGAAGCAATTGTGTGCGCTTTAAGGCGCCTCAAAGGAGGATTATGGGAAATCATGAGCGGGCTGCGGCAAAATGAAATGCAATCAGCTCACGAGATTGCCGGCGAAGTCATAAATATGTATGAAAGAGAATATTATTACTCGTATTCTCTGTCAGGGCAATTTCAGATTAAATATCCTAGTTGGATCCGCTCATAGAAATAAATTAAAGGAAGACCCACGACCATCTGTCGGATTAAATTCCCTTAAAATTTTCGTTGATATGTTTTGTTTTATATATAAAGTAACTTTAAGGAATATAATAGCTTCAAGAATATATGACCCAAAATTCTATACTCATATAAATATTTGTATAAGAGGGGGATAGCAGTTCACAGATAAGCCTTAAAGTCCTGCATTGATGTAGCTTCAGGCTCCAAGAGACCTGCAGGTGTTCTGCGGAGATTCAACGATTGTCAAAGGTGTCGTGTCGAGCATTTGAACAAGAGAAGAGTGCAAGGATCCGCGGACTGGAAACCCCGGAATGTGGCACTCTTCCCATCCTTCAACTTGAGAGACACCGAGAGTCGAAAAAAGTCAGGAGTCGAAATGAAATGAAACGAAACAAAAGCACGACTGTCCGTCAACGACTGCCTCCGTCCGTTTTTCCCGATGTCTGATGTCCGGGGGTCCGAATGCTGTTTGGGCTGCCATTTAATTCAATGACGGACAACAAAGCATCGCCACTGGGATGCAGTTAACAGAGCAGTGAGAAAAGCGTCAAATATGTGCAAGCAAAGCCTGAAAGGCGGCCACTTCCCTTGGCACGCCCACCACCCCACTCACCCATACACAGCACCCACCGCCCCTTTTCGACGTCATACAAAACAATTTCCCCTGGAGAGTTTCCATGTTCAGTTATTCGTATGTGAAAAAGCGCATCTGTTGTTGATTGTGTGAACTTCCTTTCAATCGTTTGTTTGTCCTTCTTTTTTCTCTCAGTTGTCGTTGTGTGTTTTTGTTTTTTGTTTGTTGTTTATTCTTATGGCTGCCGTTGTTGCCTTTCAAGCTGTTACTGTTTTTGTTGTTGCTGGTGCTGGTGTTATTGCTGTTATCCGCTACAGGCAAACGCCAGCAGCTTAGATAGTTTTTGGACCACTTTCCGCCACTCGAGGGGTATTTCAAGTTGGTAAACGAGTTTGTGCCAAGGAGGTTTTATATGATTCTCCAATTTTTTGCATAAAATAAATCAAAATATTTGAAAGTCGCCCGAAAGAGTGGTAATTAAATAGATACAAAATAAAGTCGCTCAAGAAAATTGAAAGAAAAGTCCTAACAGGTTTTGATTACAGAATATTTCAGTATTTAACAACGTTTAACGTTTCTTTTCAATGTAGTTAAAAAATATAATTGATTAAAAAGTTTTTAAAGCCCTATAGTGAAAAGAAAGGCCTTACAAAGTGCAACCGCAATTTAAAAAATTCCGTTGTTATTAATTTTTCAATGGCTTTCAGATGGTTTTTAACTTAATTGAAAAATATGCGAAAACAAACATGGTAGCAAAAAAGTCTTAGCAATTAAGTTTTTCCGTTAAATACTATAACTATATTAAACGGAAAAAATGATATATGCGTATTTGTCTCAATCCATTTAGCAAAAAATACTCATAAATTACACACATAAATCAATGTTTTATGTTCAAATATTCGGTTTCGTATTTTAGGATGAATAAATGCAAAAATACTTTTTATTCTTCCTGCTACTCTGCTTTTGTATTACATCTGACAAACAAAGGCAGATAGCTACTAAGCCGTTTACAAAGGGGAATTAAACCATTTTTGATTCCATCTTTTAAATTGAACGATTTATACGCTCTATTTTAAGCACAATGGATTCACCTTTAAGGCTCTTTTGTTTGTTGAATATCTATGAAAATCTATGAAAAGCTCATACAACATTCGTTTTTGATCCGCAAGGATTTTCATTTCCACATGCTGCATCGTCTGGTCATTCTGCTTATAATCCTTGGTGGGCATCTTTAGAAACAATTGCATCTTTTGTGCAAATAACTTTATACGATGCTACCGAAAAAACTCAGCTCTGGTGCTCAGTTTTGGACCAAGAAACGTTGACATCGCATGGGCGTGGGTGGTTGGGTGACTATTTCCCCGGATGCCAGGAGGTCACTGCTGTGCATTGTGCAATTTATTTATTGCACACAAAACTTTCCCGAGAAAACGAGAATAAGGAGCAGGAGTAGGATGGGACAACTTCTGCGAAAATGAGATAGTCAGTGGCATTGTTTTTTCCCAAATGGACAGAGTAATGTCGTCCCGCGGGAACGTCAATATCTCCAAGTAATAAGTAGCCATCTGATGACATAATAGTGTTCTCCTGCGGCAAAAGGATCTGGATCACTTGGGTTAGTCGTTTATTATAATTTATGGTTGCATTTTGTAGAAGCCTGGCAGCTATAAAATAACATCGAAGCTCCGAAATTTTTCAAGCAAATTTACGTTACCGGAATAAATTTCAATTTAAATTAAACCTTAAAGCCGCTGCTACTGAATTCGGATACTGAATCTGATCCCGATCCCAATGACGTCAATGCCGGAGTAAATTGCCTAACCAACATTTCAGACGGGCGTCGCTAATCCGCGGCACTTAGCAAACAAATTGCCCCACATAAACAATTCTAATTGAGATGAACGATATGGCCGTGTACTTACATCCATGCAAACCAGTCAATCGGATCGCTGGCAATCCGGCAACTATGTTAAATGTGATGTAAGTTATACGGCTTTGGGCATTGGGCTGGCCGGATTTGCATTGCCCACCGTCATAAAATGGAGCATAAATTTCACTTACTTCTTCAGCGTGGCAGCCAATGCCAAATCGGGGCGTACATCAAAGCGGCTCTGCATATAGAAGCGCAATAAATTATCGCGTTCATTTTCACGTAATCCTTCCTCGAGTGCTAATGCGGCCAGTGTGTGATAGGATTCTGACTCCGTGATGCCGAATAATAAATCATAACTGAAAGAGACAGTAAGAGGCGGAGTGAGAGAGAGGCCAGATGCGGTGGCAGCGGGCTGGGCAAGTCAACATGCATAGTTCGTGTTTGCCGCTGGTGGACCGTGGCTACTTCTGTGCACTGCGCGAAGAGCAGGTGTTAATTTCCTCGCTTTAGGTGTTAATATCATGGTTAGTAAGCATTTCCGCTTTTGTGGTAGTCTAAAAAGATGTAAGGCTTACATTACATTCCTGTTGACTAGGTGTAAATGATTTAAGCAAGCATGCCTTTACTTATTAGCAAGAAAATGGTCTAAGAAAAATCTACGTATGTCCTTTATACATCTCTAGTCATGTATAGTTTTGTCAGTGCACTTTCTGCATGGATGAAACAACAACCCAATGAATTCCCATAAAACGCAGTTAAAAGCACTAAAATAAAACGAGCTCTCGTTCCTGTGGCGTAACTTGTTACGCCGCCTGATAAATGGTGCTACTGGTGCTCGTCTATGAAAAGTGCTCTACTCTCGGCTCCAGTCCCAGGCCGGATCCTGGCCACGCCCGACTGAAGCCCCTTGGGCCACCCAACTGGGCATTGTCTTCCTGTTGCGCCGTGGACATGGCATTAAAAGTTCCACTCAAGTTGGGCAGGAAAGTTTTCCCCGATAAAAGTAAATGCAAAGCTGCTGCAAAACTTGCTAAATTGAATGGAGATGGAGCTGCCAATGGGATGGCAACTGGACACTTGAGCGTGCTCGAGCACCACTTTCCTGCACTTTCCTAGAGAGCCTCACTCATTTGGGAAGGCTTTAATCCTTGGTCATCGCTGATTAAGGTGATTAAAAGCCGAAGATGAGGGGAACCGCCCAGGACCACATCTCCGGTCGAGTGAAACGTGCTTCCACCTCAATTTCCCAACTCAACCGTGACCTGACCTACCTCTCTGAGCCCGAAACTCTGTCTGTCTGCCGTAATTAATGGCTCCTCCTGGCAGCTATTATTCTATTTTTCCCGGTACTGCGTGTCAAACACGTTTGACTTGCAAAAGGATAACAATTAAAATCAAATTAATCACGCATTTTATTAGATTATACCGTGTTAGGTTGACTGAATGGCTAAGCAGCACGTGCCCCAATGTCCTTCGGGGAAATGCGAGTGCCGGAAGGATAGGACTTCGCACGGAGTGCAGAGTCCTTCGAGGAGTTGAGTTATTACTTGTTGCCCAATTGATTGATGGATGGGTGTAATTTATAGGGGGGCTTTGGTACCCGATCCCTCAAAGAAGCTCTTTGATGCTTCTTCGTTCATTATTTGTTTTAGGCTTATTTAATTTGCTTTCGGCACACGGAGAAAAATTTAAGGTTCAAGGGAAAAAATATTCTTTAAAAAATAAAATTAACTAAATAATACTTTCTAATACTTTTCAAATTATGCACGACCATAGAATCCATAAGATGAGCATAGTTATAGCTATATACCTAAAGTGTTGTTTTCCTTGAGTTGTAATTTTAGTGTGACATTGTTTTTCTATGTGCAGACTCAATATTCTATTAGCCTTTAATGTTTCACCTTCAGTTTGACCGCAGCTGAACCCAACTCCCATCTGCAAATATTGCCTGGGGAACCGTCCGTCCGGAATGGACCAAATGCAGGAACCAATAGGTGTTGAAGTAAATGTGTTTTCTTGGCCCGTATCAAACCCAACAAGTGACATTCTAGCCGTAATTTGCTTGATGATAACTGAGCTAACGCCAACGCAAAATCGGCGTGTTAAATGGTTTACCCCAGGCCTCGATTTTCACAGACGATTTCACTTCACCTGAGGGCAAAAACACGCATCGAAGAAAGAAATACCAGACGTCTAATCAAGTAGCGCACAATAAATAGTCCGGTGAGCTGTCTGTCCGGGCCAAAAGCGGAAAAAACGGAATGTTTGACAGCTCCCCAAAGCACGGTTCGCCAGTAAATATCAAACGCAAAGGAATTGGCAATGGTTAAGGTTTAGGTTTTAGGTTGAGGAAAAAGCAATCGCAATGGATGAAAATGGGAATGGGAATGAGGTCGGGAATGGGTAGGGAATTGCTTAACAAACCGACTGAAGTGCTCCGTATAATGCCCCATGACCTTGTACGGTTGATTTGGTATTACATGTCCATCGACAATTGGACCCAATGATGTTGAAAATTGTGTGAGCGCCGTTGGTATGTGCAAGATATCCTGGTAGCTGCAAAGAAACAAGAACGGCACAAAATGCGTTAAAAGGTCTCACAAACGAGTTGGGTATAAATTTCGTAGTAGATGGACATATATTCTGGAAGAGGGCCTACAACGGCCGCTGGTATTATGGCGGCTCAGCCGGCTGACAGCGGTCACTTTTCACTTTGATTTGAAATTTCTAATAAATTTTATGTGTGATTTGTTGCTGGACAGTAACTCGCACGTACCACGCACACGTGGCTCACATAAAGGCAACGAGATGGCCTACAAGATACACATATGGTCTTTAGGGCATTGCCAAATTACTAAGCAGAAAATTAAGAGGATTTCTGAGTGCCATGGCCTCTTTTCAGTTGCGGAACTTTCAGGAAAATAACTATTAAAAAGCTTTAATATCTCATGTTGCTGAATGCCTTTCAAAGATGTATAAAAATAGTTGGGCAAATAAATTTTTTTATATTTTCCTGGCAGTTCCTCTATTTGAACAATTGTTTGCTTTTCGCAGAACATAACTAAAGTGAAATCCCGAAATATATATAACATACCAACTATACTATGTTTAGAGGCAACAGATTTTACTTATAGTTTGGCAAAAACTTTTTCCCAGGAGCAGACACAATTTTGTGGATGAACACCATTTCAGGAATTTAACTTTCACTTGAAAAGAATTCATTCTTGTCTCCTGAAACGCTGAGAGAGAAAACAACTTCAGAGTTACTTCCAGTTGGATTAATCTGCCTGTCTAGAAGGAAGATGTCTCCTTCAGCTACGTGGGCAAAATTATAACACCCAATTCAAGGCAATAAAAGTGTTAGCAGCAATCCGCCGAGGTTTATATTCCCTCTACCATTGTATTTTCCATATTCATATATTCAAATTTTCTTCACAAGTAACCAAATGCCTTCCATCAACGTCTGCGCTCTTATCAGTGGCACTTGCGTTACTTCCTGTAGTTATGACATTTTTTCAAAACGTATTTCTCCCACATTCAAAGACATAATAGAGCCGCAATGCAAACCAATTCCCAGGCACATACTCGTACGGATTTACACTTGTATTTATGTGTGTGTTGCCAATACAGAGAGGGGAGCCCAACCCTTTTCCCGACATAAAAATGCCACGTGGATATGAAATACAATCAGCACACATACAGAATGCTTCTGCGATCTCTGGTCTGAAGTTCCTCCTCCAGCAAAGCATTTCCGTTCGGTGCAATATTTACGCTTTTTGCTCTTTTTGCCCGCTTGACTGGCTCGTTTGGCCTTCGTTTGGGCCAACTGCAACACCGCACCCCCGTATTGATACAAAATTGCAGTGGCGAAATGGTTCAGTTGGGTGCAATTTCTGGCATAGTTTGCATAAAAATCCACATGCCAGAGCTCCAACTGAAGTGTCGATGGCACAGAAATTGGCACAAATTAAGAAAAGGACCGACAAAAAATGTATAACAACAATGAATGTAGGGTAGAAATACGAAAATCTGGAATATTTTGGCTACCGGAGTTGGACAAGTGTTATCTGGAAAATGCAGACCAGGAATGAACCAGCCAGCTGAGGTGGAAATGGAAGTAATAGAAATTCAAATGAACATCTGCATGCTCAGCTCAGCTCTCGACTCGGTTCATAGTAACCTTGGACCAAATGACAGTTCCCAAGTTTGCATAGTCATAAAATTTGGTTCGTCTTTCACCAATGATTCTGGGAATGCGGCTGAATTAAAAGCGTATCTCTCTCTCTCTCATAATCATTCAGTCCTCTTTGCATGGATTGAACTTGAGTCAAAGCAGCTATGGAGGAAAATTCAATTGGAAGCGATGCCAAAGATTCCTGGCATCCATTCAGATGCTAAGCCGAAAAAATACCAAAAATTGCCAGCTGTCGGTGGATGTGTGTGTTAATTCACTCAACACCTTTGAAATCCCATTGAAGAGGGACATTATCGTAATCCATTTAAGCTAAGAGCTGACTGCAGCCATCGATGCAATGCCATCAAACACTTTCCAGACCAAATAAAGCTCCCATGCTCTTTAAAGGAGTCTGACTTAAAACACTGAAAAAAAAAACAAATTCTAAAAATATAATTTGATTAAATATTTAAATAAATGGTATTCAGAATCTTAAGATTATTTTATTTTATATAGTTTCTGTATTATTTTACTATCGTTAAAGAAAATTAGGCAATCGAAGCTGGTAATTAAGCTATCTTTTTCTTTGGTGCAGGGAAAGCTGTGCAGCACATGTTCCTGGCTTATGTGGTCATCGTTGGGCCTGGCTATCGGCACATGGTCAAGTTTATTGCTTAAGTCTGCACCGCACGGCCACAGCTACGTGAGCTTGTGTTTTCCTCTGACTTTGACAATTTGTGGAAGCTAAAACAATTCAGGCGGCTACGGGAAAGTAAGTTGTGCCCCAGAGTCTCGGGGTCTTGGGGTTGATCCCTTCATCGTTGAAGTTGGAGCTGCTGCAAAGTTGTTCGCCATGAAGCACACAGTGTGATTTATGATTTTCATAAGGGGTAGAGTTTACTCCTGCCCTGTTGTTGTTTCTTATTAGCTCGGCTGGTGCAAAACTGTCACAAGTTGAGCTGCAACTGCGATTAACTCGTTAGACACACAATATGTGCGATTTCTCTCTATATGTATTTTGTATGTGGTGGCACAGATACAGATACTAGATGCACAATTTGTCAGTGTGCTGGTGGCAGGAACGAAGATTGATGATGTCCTTAAGAGTGCATGTAGCTACTTGAACGCCACACGCACACATACACACCCACTCGTTTGCAGGCAAACCGAACATTTATTATGCCCCAGTTTAGCCTTGTCCCTATCACGGCTATAGTTTTAGTTTTAGTTCGTACTTGTGTTCCTGGTCCTGCTTAAGCTGTCTACTTTCTATTTAATGAATTTTTAATATGCTCTGCCTTTTATTTTGTCAATTAGAAGCGCTCGACTGGCACAAAGCAAGCACACGGTGACAAGGCGGGGGATTATATGTGGGCCATCATGGCGTATACTCAATATTTCAATATGTTTCGTCTGTGTTGCATTTTTAAGAAGATTAGAGCGCTGTTTTATCACTCAAAAATATTCTCCTGAATATATTAAAGTCTTATTTATTTATTTAAAAACAAGCAGCAACTGATATGATTTAAATTTCAAAATTTCAAATTTACATAGTTTTCATTTCAGAATTTCCCTAAAACGTTTACAAGCTATAATCAGCTTAGAAAAATATTTGCACAGATAGAAATCTAATGGAATGTATTGCTCACTTTAAGGCCAAGTGGGCAATCGCAATCTGAGGTATTTAAATATACATATTAGACAATAGTTTAGGCGAGCTCGACCAGAAGTAAATAAAGATCACAGGTTCTGTTTGGCAGGCAAACACATTAGGCCGGGGTAATAGTAAATAATTTGAATAAATTAACAAGTTGCAAAAGCACACATTCGAATCAATGGGCAGGATTTGGACAAGAGTTTGATTAAATATGTACGAGGCCTAGGATCCGGAGACAAAGTCTTATGTCTGAGTTTGGGAGTGGGTTAAACAAATGCTGCTATGACTCTCCGTTTGTTTGCCCAAGTAGTTGTTACCTGTTTGTGTTTCACTAGCTGGGAGTGTATGTGTATGTGTGTGTGCTTTTGCAGTAAAAGCGATGAGCACATTTGCTCAGTAATTCATGCATAATTCATTGCATTCATTTAACACTCGCTCAGACCAGCACACATGCTACTCAACCACCACTCACTCACTCATTCACTCGTTCATTCCCTCAGTTATTTAAGTAAGCTGCCACACGAGGCTGCAGTTCTCAGGCTCAAACCGAAGCTTAGCTCATTCATTAAAACATTCTGAAATAAACTTTTAGTTGGGGGTATTCCCGATTTCTGATGGGATATGCATATCGAAAAAGGTTTAAAATGATCAATTTTGCTGTAAAACACCTACTGACCTATATCTGGAATCTGAGTTCGATATTCATATTAAATACGGAAAATTATTTAAAAAATTGCTATTTAGTCCAGCGTTTTAAAAGTTTTAGTTTGACAGGCTTGGTAAAATTTGATAGTATTTTAGAACCTTGAATATTCCATACCCTAATCACTCTATTAAGCTTCTATTCCCCGTAGAGCCTATAAAATTCCTTGTACTCCGGCTGCTTAAATCGACTATTTACGTCAGCAAAAGTTCTGGCTTGGTTTTCAAGTTACTGTGCCAATTTGAATTAAGGACAAGAAAGCAAGTTGAAAGTTTGCAAAGACACACACATACTGTACTACGCGCAGATAAAACCGACTGTTGCATCATAGTGTTTGTTAGCCGAATGGCTGACAGTTCGTGGGTGAGTGTGTGCTGGCATAATTAACATAATTACTATTATTGTGCCGTCGTTGATTTAGTTTTACATATTTAGTTACATGCGCCTTTTTTTTTCATTTTGTATGCAAATTGTTTTTTAGTTCGCTCTTGTTTACTCCCCTTGGCATACAAATGAACTTCCTTCCGCCCACACACACATGCATTAAATGCAGTTGAATGGAAAAAAACGCATTTAAGGCGGGCTTGTTTTCAAGCGTTTTTTGCTACTACGCTTTAATGGAAGGGGAAACTCTCAATCTGATAGGATAATCCGCTGAAATGCGTGCAATGAATAAGAAATGTTGGCAGAAACTGTTTATACTTAAAGAAAATATTTTCAGAAAATAAGCTGGCAAATTAGTTTAATTTGCCTGAGTAATTTAGCCTTTAAAATGATGCACAAATTTCCATTGATGGCAAAATCTCACTTACACAAAATAATATTATTCAACCGAATAACAAAAACAACGTTATTTAATTTCTAACAATATTTTATGAAAATATTTGGATTTAGATAGCTTTACATTTTGTTTTTACATTGTCATTGCATCTATGAATGCAAATTGGAATTACATTGCAGTTTGCCACGAGTTGGATTTATAATTTTATTAGATGATGCGATAAGCAGCCTGTGCTTTTGGTTTACATTTTGAAAAGAGGCCTAAGTTTTAAACCAATGACATTGTATTTTTTGAAAATGTAGCAAAACATACGATACGTCTTCAGCGAGGAAAAACCCTTGTATACTTAAGCTGAATCCTAACAATGCAAAAAACTTGAAATATTAAGCAATTAAAAAGTAATTAAACCAAAGTCCTGCCATCCATCACCATCGTGATGGGCGTTTCCTTTCCAAAAAGTGACCAACAGTCAAAGTGAACATTTCGAGTAATCGCCACGCAAATTTCAAGCCATCGACATGGTCATTATACCCGATTAGTCAAGGGAACGGACTTGGATGAGGATGTTGAGCCTAAAGGCCTTTACGCCTCATTGACATCGTTGCTCTGTAAGCTCGTAAATTTACCGAATCATTAGGCAGGTCACAAAGCCGCCAAATTCTGTTGGGTTGGCGAATTCAATCGGAGGACACAAAACACTATTCAAATGAAGATGCCAGTGTAAATGAAGTAGACCCATTCACATTGGCCACAAGCAACACTTTGCAAGAAATAGTGAACACTTTGTATTATAAGAAATAATCAATCAAACAATCATCCTATATATATGGCTCAAAAGCTATCCCTATCAAGAAATTACCACACACAAACCTTAAATTAGTAAAAAGTTTTCGCTTAAACAGCAAGTTCGACCTATAGTTTTCTCTTAATGTAGACTCACTGAGAGGCATTAGCCAGCATTACGGCTGTTTATAATCGTTCGCATATCGCTCATGCGGTTGTTGGTGCTCCTAAATAATTCAGTTGGTCGAGGACTACTCACCGACGGTGGCGCAAACAATCGAGCAGGACATCATCGTCCTCCGCCTCGACGTGGTCATTGAGTGGACAGTCGAGGGCATGGGCGATTTGCATGGTCAATTGCAGCGACTGATTGCTGGCGGCCCAGTCGGACATCGCGGATCCGGACATCAGGATGGCCCGGTGGAAGAGGCCTGCGGTGGAATTGCACACAATAAGCGTCCACAATATGTTCTCATAGTATTATGTCAGTCGTAATCCACTCCACTCACCTGAGGCCACCGGTGATACCATTAGATAATTGACACACGCCGCCCCAGTACTGTGGCCCATTAAAGTGACACGCGAGTTGTCGCCGCCGAAGGCACCAATGTTCTCCTTGATCCAATGTAACGCCGCAATCTGATCGAGCAGGGCGTAATTTGCTATGTTGTGCGCATCGATGCTGGGCCGCAGGAATCCTTAGAATAGAAACCACAAAAGATAGTTAGACTAGGAGGCACATTTTTTGAGGAGGCAGCACTTACCCAGCACTCCCAATCTGTAGTTGACGGTTACCACAATCACCTCTCCGTAACTGGACAGGACAGAGCCATCATAGGGATTGCCACTGTTCCACTCGAAGGACTCCCCATGGAGATACACAAGTACTGCATATTGCTTGGGAGTACTCTGAGGCTCTACGGTTTTAAGGGCAAAATTCCATTTAAATCAGATGGAAATGGTTAGTCAGCAGGTGTTTTTAAATGGTTTTTAATGGTAGTATAATATTTATAAAAGAAGTCTTAAACCTTTCTTAGTACAATTCCTTCTTTGTATAGTAATAGACTGTACATTAAAATAAACTTTTCTTCTAACATTGATCTTTGTTCATCAAATTTATAAAATGAGAAATAATATCAAATAATTTAATATAAAAGTCGTTTAATATAAAACCATATTTCATCGGATGTAGTTAATTGGTTGATTTAAAGTAGTAATATAATTTACTAAAATGTGTATTAAAAATCTAGTTTTGACTAAACTTTATGTGTTTAACGCATTTTAAAGATTTGCATAAATTGTATTTAAAATAAATCATAAATATTAAAATAAATCAAGCCTCAAACTAAGTATAATCGTTTATCATTTTTGCATAATAATGGTACTGAAGCCAATATAGTAAATGCAATAATTGACAATAAATAAATTGCATTATATCGAAGCATTGGAATTGGCAGTATCGCTCCTTTCAATCTGTAATCTGTGGCTGAAACTCACCTTCATGTGGCACATACAGATTGAGATACAGACAGTCCTCGCTCTCTGTTCGAAGATAGGGCAGGAGGCGACTCAAGTGCTTATGACGACCACGGGACATGTTCTCACTGCCATGGGGCGAGAGGTCCGGCAACTTTTGCGGGCAAACCGGAGGAAGATGGCGTGCTATCTTCAAGCCCTGCCAGGGCAAGGGGGCACCTGAAACGATGAACGATAAGTTTAATAAAAATATAAGAGCGATTCTAGAGGATATTGATTTTTTCGAATTAAACATACGTTTATGTTCTTTTGAAGAGTATATCGAAAAATAATAAAAGCAAGAAATAAGTTATTGGTTTTTCTTTAATTTGCTTAATGATTTTCAAACTAATACATATTAGACTCTAAGAAGATCTTAGACATTAAGAGGAACAATGTTTATAACAACAGCCTTGCAACCCCTTAACAAGTTCTGGGAATTTTAGTATCAATCTTTCAGAATAAAAAAAATATTCATTATGAAAACTCAATAAAACGATTTTTCCGAATTCCTACCCCACCTTACACATATCTTGTGAAATTCAATAGCCCCTGCAGAGAACTGACAAAGAGGGCATACGAAATAACATCCTAACCCATTGTGGCCAAACACATTTTGCTATTTCCTCTCACTGTTTCGCAGCCATTCGATTGCTTTCGAAGCGCTGTGGCCAAAAAGTCAATTCCGTATTTATGTAACACGGTCAACAGGCACTTGAAAACGCCATAAACAAGCAAACACAGACATACACAGAGACACGGCTCGGACTTCCTGCACACAAGTGCCATTGGAGACCAAAGGACACTTGGTGCCCGGCACTCAGTTCTCGGCATTTGGTCCTGTCCATATCCGATTCGTGGCCAAGTTGACTGCGGTTACGCTTTGGTGTTGCAGTTAACGTCAAACCGTGCTCGCAGATGCGGAGAATCGTCGGTGAATGGCCAACCACGATTTGGTCAAGTTAGTTCGGATTCTGGTCACTGCTTCGAAAACCAAATCTAAATCAGAAATCCATGCGGTTAAAGGACGCAGAGGGCGGAACCCGCACAGATGCCAATCCATCTCGGTGGAGCGTTGGCAAATCGCTTACAAATTTTGACACCACATTGTTACGGCTTCAGATTGTTTTGCGGTTATTTAGGAGCGATCGATATGCAAATTCATGGGCTTAGGCAAATTAAGTGGCTTCAATCACCGAGCCTTGATTGAAAATATTATTGCAAATTCAAACATGCTTTGAGTGGGCTCAACCAATTCAATAACAATATTAACACAAGCAACTGGCAGGCAATAATTGATTCAAGTCCAACAAATAGCGCACGGAAAGAAATTTGGGAATACATGGAAAATACTAAAGAATTAATTTACTTTTAATAACGATATGATATGATATGTTATTGATTTAGTAAAGATCCACAAGATAATGGGCAAAAAATGCTCAAATTTTTTTACAGTGCACTCAATTTCAATTTCAACAAGTTTATTCATCAAAAAGTGGGAGTGGGTTAGACCACCCAAATCAAAGCGAATTTCAATTTCGGATGCTCGCTCAACACCCCAAAAAATATGCAACATTTACACTTTGACACATTCGCGGCGGACAAATTTCATTTCGTCGCGTTATTGAGCCCATAAAAATACGAAGAAAAGAGCAACTCCAAACGTGTATCCAATATGCGGATGTGAACATTATTTGCATTTTGTTATTAATAAATTTCGCAACCGGCACCGGCAACAGGAAGAGGTTCTAGACTGTGAACTCAGAACCCAGAAAACTCCAGCGGAAATGGGAAACGAACGACGAGCAGAATCGAAAACGATGTGTATTTGTTTGGTCGCAGCGCACAAACAAAATCTATCACACAAACGAACAGGACTCCGTTTGCATACGGGTTTGGATGTCCTCCGCTTTGACAGGCTATCTACACATTACGCATTCGCAACGTGAGCATATTTGCATTGGCTTATATTTGCGGGGCGAATTTCAAGGCAAGTTGTATCAGCGACGACGTGTTTGCAATGGCACGCTGACAACAACTCCCCCTTCACAAATATGCCCGCCTCTAGTTGTTGCTCCTGCTGCTACTGGTGTCACCGTTGATGTTGCTGCGGTGCAGCGAAATGTTGCTGCTGTCCGCTCGGATTGAGTGCACGGCATTCAAGTGCTCAATAAACTTAGCGCGACAAACGGAGAAGTGCAAACTGCCAACTGAAAACAGCCACTGGAAACTGCAACTGGAAACTGCAACACAGCCATCTGACACGCAAATCGTGGCCAACACTTTCAACAGCCTCCGGGGCGTGTTAATTTATTGTCTTTACGTAATGCGATTCAAAATCACTAAGCTATGCAGCGTCGCCACGTAGGACGTACACTGGGAGCATTGGCTGGGTGCCAGTTTTCGCATTCCGGAGACTTACTTTGCTATAATCCTTTATCCTTTAATATAAAAACAATGATAATTCAATTAATTTTAAGTTAGTTAATTTTTCATAAAGGAAAGAAGATATTCCTCGTATGATTATGGACACCTATAATCAAATTGCTTTGCGAAAAACAAACCCTTGCTACTTTTGGCAGACTAATTAATTCTTTTCATTCAATTAAAAGTTATATTTTTAGTAAAAGTTTTTTTAAGTGCACACCAAGTGAAACCGGAGGCCCGTGTGGCAACGAGGAAGTTACGCTGCCAACAGATGAAGCTGCGGCCTGTTTATGCCCAGAAAACCAGGACAAAGGCCCGAAGTTTGGCTGAAGTGTTGGCAGCTTGGCGGCCACAAATCTCACAGGCCAGTTGGCAGACTAGCAACGTAAATCATGTTTTGATAAACAAACTAAAAATACATATAATACCAGCAATTTTCACTCTTAATTAAACAAGCAAAATATTCATGTACAAAGCCCGAAACATAATCGCACAACATATGGCCAAGTGAATGGGCAAGCGGGATGGGGATGGCTTGGATTTACATTGCAATCCTTGTAAAAACAAGCTGCAATAATAATAGCCATTCGAGGCAGGAAGCACACACACTCAGAAACGTGCTTTCAGGACCAACATCCTGCCAGATCGGTGTTAGAGAGGGCACATGTCAGGCTGTGAAAGCCTAATGCCGGGGCCAGCTTCAACGATAATTGCTTAAATTGCAGGCTAAATTCTAAGTGCCCCAGCAGCGCTCCCAGGACCAACAGGATGCTCTAACATCTAACATGGACAGCAGGAGAAATGAGGCGGCATGTGTCGGCCGCTCAAGGAGTGTTTGCCCTACCCCAAAACCCTCCTTCCACCCCAATGGAGTTTTGGGTATTTTGGGGCTTCGAGGTTTTCGGGTTTGCCTGTTGGTGCTCCAAAGTGGCAATTTGCCATCATATTTGCGGTCACAAATAGTGCTGACTGCCTACGGCGGGAAGGTATAAGCATATAAATAGCTAGGATTTCAAAGTTTATTGGGTCCCTCAAATGGAGGATCCCCTAATAAATTATACAAATTGCTATTCTCAGTCGTAAATAGTAATTTTTAATGAAACATGTTTAGCTGTTTAAATGTTATGGTTTAATCCCCTTTTCAAGTTCATGGATGGTTTAAAAAAAGGAAATTATTTACAATGGGCTTTTGTTTTCCAAAAACATTGTTTATGTTGCATTTAACAAGCAGCTATCAATATTCAACACATGTTAACTCTTATTTTGCACGCTTTAAGCCAGAGGGTTTCGTTTTTGTTAATGATTTAATTGTCTGATGTTTATAAAAATAGATGTAAACTGCCATTAAGTTCCATTTTCATATTTTAATAGGTACTAAACTTTGTTGTCTGTTTTCCTTAAAAAAGACTTTTGACAATGCCATTCTCAATAAAAGGGTTTTAAGTTCAATTGCATTGCTCCTTCACATTAAAAATTTGAAATATTTAGATAAGGTAGAATTTAACAGTGTTACATTAAAAATTATCGATTGGAAAATTGATTTCCAAGAACTGCTAAATCTAGTTTTAGTCATATCTAATCAAGTCCCAGTGTTATAGAAAAATACATTAAACCAAGAAAAAACCATAACAAATGATAAATATTAGATATCTTTGTGGGAATGGTTAATAAGAACATACAAAGTCCCTAGACGGCGAAACACCAGGAACGAAGAGATGGAGATTGACCATCTGGAGAAGGAGGTGGAAACGACGTGGACGATGAAGATGAAACCAGAAGATTGAAGCGATCTGCGAGGAGAGGAACGAGGAGCATTTGAGAAGAGTTCACGATGATAAGACCTGCTCAAGGGAAGCAAATAAGACGCAAAGATTCTATATAAATAATGTAAAATAAACATATTTGTAATTAAATTTATAATATAAACATAACTGTTATTTAAAAAAGACCTCACATCTATATAATTTTCGAATAAACTGTGGCCTGTCGAATAAAGTATCCTTCATGTTTTTTATTATTTGTAAAAAAATTTAACAGTGTTAATAGTCTCCATATAGAATTGAAATTAATCTTTCTATATCTCGCATTTTTCATCAAACTAAAGGCACTAAAGGTAGCTATTTCGGACACTCACCTGGTGGCATAAAGCGCCGATTGCCCGTGGGCGCCTCCGCGTAGGGCAGTCCCAGGAACTGGTCCACCTGCCGCAGTCCGCTGGTCACCTGGAAGCGACGTGTGATGCCCATGAGGCGACCCTGCTTCACCTGGATCTCCTGGGTGTACTGCAGCTTATCGGGGACCACATGTCGTCGCCCCGGGTGATGGGTGGTCGACGCCTCGCCGCGGCTGTCATCGGTGGCCAAAACTGCGGCCGTGGGTTTGTCAGTGCCATTGGGTTGCTGTCCATGGGTGGTTGCATCATCGGCGAACAGCTTGCTCATGCTCTGCCTCAAATGCAGCTCCAAATTGGTTGCCGGGGCCTTGGCACGTCGCACTACCGCCTGATGGCCAATTGATCTGCCCGGATCCGGCTGAATTGTCGTTGTGATGTCCCCGATAACCCGTGTTTGCTTTGAGGTTTCACGCAATTTCATTGCGTTTTCCAGTTCATTTCCTTTGTGCAGCTGCTTTTCGGATGTGGCCACGCCCCCCGCGAAAAGGTGGCTTAATTGCTGGCGATAGCCGCCAACTGTCAGCAGAAATAGCCAAAATGATGCCAAACGAAACTTCATGGCTTTGTTATCCGCCCCCGCCGGCTCTCTACAGCTGCTGTTTTCTGCTATTTTCGATATTAATTTTGGCCTTACACTCTCTCTCTCTTTTTGGGGAAAAACTTTTCACATTCCGCTCGTGTTTGTCTTTCCTTTTTGGTTAATTGTGCTTTTTCCTCGGGTTTTTCGCTGTTTTCCTTCTTTGTTGCGTCCAACCGAATGGCTCACATTTTCCGGACTCCGTATTTACATGGATTTTCTTTGAGCGCCTTAAATAGTTTCGACAGTTTATTTACTTGCAGAATTTAGCATGCTCCTTTGTCCAGTTCTTTTCCGTATTTAATTTCATTTGCAACAAAAGTTTCGTCTGCTTTTATACGCCCGAACATTGTTTGCGAGGAGAAAAACACCAAGAAAATTGTTAGTGAAAAGCACTAAGTATATTGAAGCTGCTCGACAATTTCATTACACTTTAATTTTGGTTTTACGCAAGCTTACGTTTTTCTTTACTTTCTAAAAGAAAATTACTAGTTTTTATAAAAAAAAAGATTTTTGATTAAGCAAAAGGTATCTAGAAACATGTCTTAAACTAAATATATATTCGAGAGAGAAACTGAAATCTTCTTGGTAAAATTTCATGGAACATCAGGAAGATATAGAAAACAAACAACGGCCCCCTTAAAGTCAATTCATATCTGAAATTAATGGCCCGTTCTGATTGAGTCAATCGTTCAGTTCTCATTGGCACTGCATTTTCCAATTGACATGCCCTCTCGTGTGTGGCAGACAATCAATGTGCTGTTCATTTTCAGAATTTCAAATATTATTTTAGGACTCCTCTGATGGTATGGTGGAAGTCACTTATTTATAGTGCCCATTAGTTATGAATGCCTTCAGACTTTGGACTTTGTCAAATCGATTCGATCGAAGTAAAGTGAATGGAAATGAAATGAAAAGAACTTCCGACACTTATTCGAATGCTTTTCATGTTAAACATGATAAGAAATTGCCATTAAACCGAATATTTGTATACAAATGAGAATAAACGTTGAACAAGCGTCCGTCATTCAGGTCCTGACACATGCAAAATGAGCTCCGAAGGCTTTTCACAATTTAGTGCCGTGTAGTCTCACATTTGCGTAACGTAAACAAAGAGCATTCAGAAATAAATGGAATGGAAAATCCAGTCCATAGCTAAAGATTTCCCATGACGATTAATCATAAAAGCAAAAATACCAATGAAAATTCAATTAGCTTCCTCTGTTTCTTTTCCATCTCGATTTATGTCGACACGCCGGCGAAGTGAGCTAATTTCGCTATAAAAGTAAAACAAACGCCAAACTCAAAACTAAAAATGAAAAGGAATTTAAATGTTTTTTTACGAGCACGCCAAGAAAGGCGCAGTGACGTAGGAAGGGGGTGGCACATGGGCGGCACATGTGTTTGTGTAAACCCAAAATGTGTGACTGAGTGTGGGACTCTGCGCGTGTGTGCGTGAGTATATATCAAAATAATCACAACGCACTGACACACTAAAAGCATTTTTCACAATAACAACAAACTAAATAGAACAAGCTAAAATGAAAATGTACAAAAATATTAGAGGAAAAGGGCGCAAGCCGAAGATCGGACACTCTTATAATAATATATTCTTCCAAATATATTTTTTATTCAAAAGGCATTACAAAAATCTTATTATTTGTATTTAAATCATTAACAGAAAATGTGTAACCCAGCGAAAAAATAATAAGAAAAAAGGTAAAGCTAGATAATCGAGATATAGAACAGGTTATTTAGTATTTCTATTAGTTGTAGAGATACAATAAAAATATAGTTTTAAACATTTATAGATTGAAATCTCTCTGCCAAATATTAAAGTATTGGCAATATTTCATCACATATTTATATATACTTTACTACATATACAACTAATAAACAACCTAGAGAATAATAAAAAATCTCTTTAAATGATTTTGTTATTTATTGCATTTTTTGTTCGAAGTTTTACTGTGTGTGTGTGTGTTTTCCCGGATATGAGCATGTTGTGTGCTGGTTTGTTTGTTTGCATCACAAGCACACATAAATGTCAAGGTACATTTGCTGTGAACATAAAATTGACCTTTGCTAAACGCGTGGAATGGATGCTGAAGTGGAGTTTAGCCAAGCACTTAGACAGCCGTGAAAAGCGCCGTAGCGAAAGGAAAATCCCATAAATTCCCTCAACAACTCGTTCGAAAGCTAATTGAGTCAGCATAAACGGATGTTGCTTTTTAGCTATCTTGTTATAGAATATCAGTATTTTTAGAACGGAGCGAAATAGAAAATCAATGCTATTTCTGTGATGTTTTCTCGGCAATCTGTCGGTTTAACGTATCCACTCAGTGAAAGTAAATTAAGACAGCTGTCGGCGGCCATTAAATGCAAATTTCGAAAAACGAAAGCTGAAACTGCAGGGGCTACCAATACCAATACTCGCCACTAAAAGTGGGACTAATAAAAAATAAATACAGAAATAGAGATAGATAGAGAGAATAGCCACGGTGGCAATGCAAATTTAAACAAAATGCACAGTGTTAAAAATAAATAGTAAGTGCTTAAAAATAAAAACGAATGGACAAAAATATTCACGGAATTTCGCTGCATTGTCCGCTCACTCCACGAAATGTCGTCACCAAAGGCAAAAATAAATAAATAGAGAAATTCGCGAAAATAGAAGGAAAATCGCAAGACAAACTTGCCAGTTGGCAGCTGGCGAAAAAGGAAATCGCACCGAACGGAAACAAGATGGGAAAATGGAAAAATCAACGAGAGCCGGGAAAGCGGGAAAAGTGCAATTGGAATTTAAGTAAAGTGATTTGATTTGGATTACTCTGTCGCGAAGTCACTTATTTTCTGCCGGTCCACTTGGCCTGGTCAAAACAATTCGCGGAATGCTTTTCTTGCTCTGATGAAGTCACTCAGCCGAGCATTTGGCATTTGGATTTGCCTTTGGATGGTTAAAACGAACAATTTGTGGGTCAATTGAAGTGTGCTGTCTGCTTGAATAAACTTTAAAATAGAGCGAAAAGAGGATCCTTATCCGCAGACCGCATAATCAATAGCGAAACACTTTCGACATAGTTTCGAGGGAAACAGATGTGACAGTGTCATAAATTATATTCCACCAGCCATGTAACAATTCCAGCGAGAGTTTCTCCAGCGCTTTTGTGATGCAAATGATGACAGAAGGGCCACGTAGCTGGGGTCCCATGGGTTAAGCCCCCTTAACCCCAGGAAAACAACATTGTACAACGGACACAGGGCCAGAATTTGCATAATTAGCACAGAAATGTCGACGCATCGAAAGCTGTCACTTCTGACACGCCAAACCGAAATGGCAACTATAAAGTACAACTAATTTTAGCTGACTTGCAGAAAACAACATTTGGAAAATACGAAAATTCAAAACTGCGACAAAAAGTTCAACAAACCCCAAGCCAAATGCAGAAGATCGTGCCGAATTATTTCGAATTATGCGATTTATTTTTGGTCTCCCTCGCAAAAAAACATGCACAGAAGTGGGCGGTGGGCAGGGCGAACTATCGTGCAAATTAAGTGAAATGTTTATTTTTAAATAATTCGGTTACTCGAAACACAACGAATTTGTTTCAATTTGTTTACATAAATGTTTTTGTGCAACGAAAAGGGATTTGGCTTGGCGTTTAGTTTTAGTAAACTTGTACAAGCCGTGTATTTAAAGACCCAAATTGGAATCCCGAGCACCCGAATGTTCATCTAATAAACACCTAGAAATAAATCGCTTTCTCGGATAATCTGCGCAAGATATTCGCTTTATATTTGTTTGCTATTATTATACTTTGCTTATACATATGTATGTATGTTGAAATATTTGCAGGCGTCACACATCACTGAATTTTCGAATATTTTCGATTTTTTCGAGCAAGTATTGGGGGCAATTTAACGAGCTCCACAAGAAGTTAATTCCTGCACTTTATTTATACGGAAAAAAATATATGGGATCTTTTTGCACGTTTTTACATTTAATTATTTTGCATATTTTCCTTCGAGAAGGAATATTTCGTTTATTAATTAAGGCAAATCGCCATGGCATTTCATGTACTCGAATGAGAACGACCAGTGAAGCAGATTAATTCTTTTGGAAATTCATTTTCACGGGCCATTTGACCATTGGATTGCCGATAATTATGCGCGTTGTCAATTTTTCAATTTTTGCATTTACCAAGTTGTGCTTGATTTGTTGTATCTTTGATCTGGCCGAAAGATGCGCAAAACAATTTTGGCACAGGCGGTATTTTCGTTTGTCACTTTCTGTGGTTTCGCACAAATAAATCGAAGATGCCTTCGATTATTTTCTTTCATTCAGTAACGATTGCTACACACTTGAAATAAATCACTCGGCAAAGACTTTTCTTTTTCGAACTGATTAACTTCGGTGCCTTCTGCGCGTAAACATTTTCACTCGAGCACTTGGCACGCGCTCTGTTTGTGTCCCCTTTGCAGATATTTTCTGGGCGTTATTTTTGGATCACACAAGATTTATTTCACTGCTGTTTGGCTTGGCATAAGACTTTTCCCCACAGAAAGCAAAACGAGAAACTCGAGCGATCTCCAACCGACACGATCCACGTTCAAACTGCAACTGCTCGGAGATTCTTAAGGCTGAAGAATTGCCGGGCATTCCCGGGATCTTTTCTCTTTGACAAAATCTTCTCTTAGCTGAGAGAATTTCACTTTTGCGCTAGAAATTCTCGAAAATTCAGGGTAAATTCGGGTTTGTTTACGAAATTGTACTGTTGTGAAAGATCACAAAGAGCTCAAAAGCTGTCAAGAAGGGTTTGTTATCAATTTTCTTAAAAGACTAAGAAGTTTTCTTAATATGTGATCACATATTCAGTCTATTTTGAACCTTCGAGTATTTAATTTAAGGAACAGTGCAATATATTAGAGGTGATCTTGGTAAATATTTATAAATTATATTTTTTATAATTCCATATCCCTTCACATAGCATTCCTTGTACTTCCTGGAGATTTCCATATCCCATTTCGGAGAAATTTCCGCAACTTCCGCTCCCTGAATACGTAAATAAACATCTTTTGATGCCGAGTGGAAAGATTTTCTCTTTTCTGTTATCAAAGACTTCCTGCCGCAAATCTATCTCTAAGTCTAAGTGCACAGGCAGGAGCCAAGTTAGGGTCTTAAAGCAGCTTGGCTCTCAGCCAAGAATCAAGGAAAGGAAAAAGGAAAAAAGTGAACTCCCCCTAAGAGACAAAGCCGAACTCCGACCTAGGTCTACCTCTATTTGCCAAGCGTTTTTGCATCGCAGCACGCAGCAGCTAAGTGACTTGTTTGACTTCTTCATTGTGCCTTCACTTCATCGCCAATTTGGTGAGGCCACTGGAAAAAGGAAGATGTTTAAGGTGATTGCTGAAGCGAGTTTGAAAGGGTTTTTTACGAAGTAAAAGTCGGAGGAAAAAAGAAATACCAATAAATGTGCTAAGTCTACAGAATTTTGCTGTACCCTCTAAAATAAAAGTTAAGCAAAAATAACACAAAATGGAATCATATTTTTGTTATTGTTCGAAAACCATCACTTAGTGTTTTAATCTTGGCTCATATTGCCAACCTCATAGTTCCATACCCATTAGACTTAAGATCCACCTATCAATGTATACATTATGAATAAGTGCCACATATGGCAACATTGGCTACTCTCCCCACATATGGCAACTTTGAAATTTTCCTCAGTATCAATTAGGCAGCCAAACAATCAAAAACAATAAAAAAATACTCAGTCCACACAAAATCGATCAACGCATTTAGGATCAGTTATTGTCCATCACTTTAGGTGCTTAATTGAATAATTCACGAAAAGTAGGAAAACAAAAAATAATATAGAAATTCGGCAAAGGTAAGACTATTTCTGGTTATGTATGTAAGATAATTCGATATTATATATGTTATATAAAATTTAATAATAGTTACACAGGTATTTATGTTTAAATTATGATTTGACAAATAATTTGGCGCGACTTTACAATAGTTTGACAACTTTTCGACCGATTCTCTAACGACGCTTCAACTTCTCAACTTTACGGCAACTCTGACGACTTCTGCTTCTTACTGCTGAACCTATTCGAATACACGACCCTATTCGAAATTCGTAGGGCTGCCAACTGATGTGCATAACGCCACCTCACATATATACTTCACGAAAAAAGTTATTTTAATATTTTAGAAACTATTTAGAAACTCCATAAATAATAATATAATAATAATTTAATTTTAGTTACCCTTGACTTCCTGTCAGATATTCGTTTTATATTATAATGATTTTTTCAATGACAGTTACCCAGTCGTTCCGAACGCATCGACATTAGTGAATCTCTTTCTAGACTTTGGTCATGACAGAATAAGGTGAGTTACTGGTGAGTTATTGGCGTCCTGTCCATGGAAAGGTCGTGATAAATCGGACATATTCGTAAAAGTTGTAATGCAAGATTTTCACGAATCCTTGCAGTGCACGTCGTAGTCCTGATCAAGATGCACAATTTCGGATTGATGACTCTTTGATGGGATAAGTGCGGCCGTAACTATGTGTTGCAACTGTTCGCGGTAATTGTGGACTAAAATGGGTATGATTTTGTTAATTTCTAGTCATGCCGCAACTGCTAAAATGTCCATATTTTTCAGATGAGCATGGTAAAGTGCAAGTGATCGATGAAGCTTCAGGCTCAAGTCTACAAGTCGTAGATCAAGATAGCTAGGGAACATCTTTACCACCGTTTTGGATCGTTTTTGGTGTTCGGGATATCAACCACTCTACCGTTGGACTGTAAGATAGGCGACTTTAAGGGTGCGCAGTGCGCATCAAGATGTGAATGCAGTGTTAATGGCCGTTTTAATATTGAAAACTCTTTACGCAAAATGCAGGATATCAACAATATGTTTGATTATGCACAGCATTGATAAGCGATGTTGGCCCGAGATTTTAATATGTGACTTAGGGCTTTATTAAGATGTGGTAAGTGTTCGTTGTCCGTCCACCAATAGAGCGGATTAATATCGGGCTTTAGCACGACTTTCATTCTCATATATCAATGGATATAAGTATTTAAGTGGTGCTTAAGCCCGATTTTATGGAAAGTATATCAGCGCTATTTTGTGGCTCTTGGTGATAGGTCTTAAGGGAATAATCTGCTCTATTGCTGGAAGGAAAACGAACTGTTACCACTTCTTTACAAAGTCAACAGTCACATATTGAGTTCCCTTGCCATTACCGCTTTAACATTGCTATAATAATATTGTGTAAAGTTCAGTGAATACAATGCTTCCATGGAGGTGGCGATCAAGTAGTGACTGAATGGTGTTTTTAACAAAAAATTAAAAATTTTTTAATTCGTTGCAAATTGCATTCTTTTGTACTGTATTTTATATAAACCTAAATTAAGACAAGCATTGCAAGGTTGGGATGTGAAATTATTTTAGAGTCGGAAAAAAAATGAAGTCAGGCCATAAAACAGGTATTTTTACTATTTTAAAATAAAACAAATTTCATTTGGCTCTGACCTTAAAGCAATATAGAGATAAACCAAACTAAGCTACCCCGACAACTCTTTGGGAAAACTCCACCGTTTTTCCGACGTCACAGTTTGTAGAACCAATTTTCGCACCTTTCACGCCCATTTCACTGTGTGAAAAAGGAAAAATCAAGGAAAAAACGGCTGACAGCTTCCCAGAGGTACATGTTTGGCTTCCTTTTTTGCGCACACACACAAAAATCCAAGTGCTCGGAGGAAATTGATTTACCCGGCTGACATTTTCGAAGTAACTCGAGTAGCTAATTTACGACCATCAAAGTGCGCCAATAAATTTTGTTTAATTGCTAGTTAATTAAAATCGAAGCCCCGTGCTTGAGACTCAGTACTTGAAAATATACTCACACACACCCAAAGAAAGCACCAATGGGAACGTCAGCGGGGCATTTATAAATAAACCAAATTCTACGTCAAAGAGGCGACAGGCACACATCCAAATATAACTAGAAACCATAAAAACTCGTATAAAGCATGATCATAAAAATGACAAAAATATCAAGTTAATTTAATTATTTAAGAATCTAGTAGTTAGCAAGAAATAGAAAATGCAGCTATGGATTTTTCATCTCCAAATGGCTGCTATGAAAATTCATATTGAAATCCATTTCAGCCCCAAAAAACGTTTCTATTTGAACGACTTCTGTTTGCTGGCTGTCAATTTATCAAAAAATACATTTTTCATCTCAAAGACTTTTGGCATGTTTTTCTCTTATTTTTGCTTGTCATATTTTCTAATAGTTAGTCAAATAAATTCGTATATTACTTGCGGCGCTTGAGGTGCCAAATGGCTTGCATAAACAAATTAGACCAAATTGCTTACAAATTGGAAAAGGTTTTGGGAATAAAATTGTTTGGAAAAAATAACGAATATGTGGGTAACCTATAAAATATTTTCTTGCTCTTTGCTTTTTATATTTAAAAAAGGAAATAAATTCCCAAGTCGAATATTTAACAAAAAGCATTGAAAGTCGCCTTATATCGCTACATAAAAGGGAATCTTGCCAAAAATTAAAGGGATGGGAATATTTCCGCATTGACTTTGAAATGTTTTTGGCTTTAGCTTAGCTAGTTTTTCATGCTTAACATGAGTAAGCTCATTCTGGTTCATAAGGGGCTTACATTTTAATAGCCCCATCCGAGTTCTTGTTTAATTTTGAGTCACATTCCCAATTGGCAAATTCAGACAGGGTCAGGGATCTGGGGACCGAATGACTAGCAATTTGCGATCTAATTAACTTCGATTCCTTTGGCAAGGACATTTACATAATTGCAATTCGTGGTGCATAATTCTGTCCTGGACCACGCCCACTTGCAGTCCCAGATAAGAAAAAATTAAACCATCGCAATCAAGTTAAAAACGAAAGTGGCCCATGGCGCAGGCGAAAGGATAACCGAAGGAAAGAATGGAACTGAAATTAGAAAAGCAAAATGACACAAAAAAGCGAGTGCTAACGTAATTGTGTTTTGCCGTTGCCACTGCAATTGGGTTCTGGCCATATGGCGGCCACATTACACCGAGTTAAACGAAGGCCGTGGAGCAAGCAAAAAAATGGCAGGGAGAAGGCAACGGCGCCAAATGAAAGCCAACTCTAATTAAGTCAGCAACGGTCAAGTTGCAGAAACACAAAAAGAAAAGCCAATTGAGCCCTTTTTCGTTTTCTGACCAGCATCAAGGAAAGTTGCAGCAGATAGCACAGCAGGCATTCACATCTTCAGAGAACCATAAAAGTAATAGCCACAGCGGATGATTTAATTCAAGGGTGCACTGGGCTTGGCCAACTTATTTGGTGCTAATTATATGCCTTAAGTCGGGGAATTATGAATGCAGTTGGGTGCACTTAAGTTGCTATAAAATGGGAGTCTTTACTTAAAGGAAAAAGGAACGACCTGAGACGGAGAACCCGGCTCTAGACTGATTTTAAGTGGTCAAGACTTGGGGCTGCCGTAACGTAAAGTGAAGTGCAAATAAATTACACAAAAATTGCTCAAGAAATACCCCCAAGAAATGCACTTAAATTTGCCTTG